GATTCCTTGCTTGCCGAAAGGTGATGCAGCAAGAGCATTTGGTGCAGCCTCAGTTGGCTATGGAGATCAAAACTGTGGTGGCCACAAGCAAGGTGACGTCACCTCGCATCAACCTGATGTTTCGATCAAACTCATTGTGGAGGCGTGATTTTCTTGCTAGCTTCAGCTTCCGGTCAAGTTGAGATAATATTGAAGTAACTTCTGGGTTGAATGTTGAACTGCTGGTCAAAGGTTGAGCAGTACCTGGTCAGGCTGTGATATATATATATATATTTGTTTGTTTGCTCTTTTGATTTTGTTGCACCAGGGCGTTGTGGAACGCGGTGGTGGATGTGGGGAAAGATCAAGTCGATCTTGATAGCGCTACCGACCTTGCCGGGAAAGTTCGGGACAACGTGAAAAAGTTGGACACTCTTCTGCAAGTGGATGGGGACGAAAACAAATCGACCCTGGCCCTGGACAAGGTGATGCCAGCGATTGACAAGTGTTCATCCATCCAGTCTGTCATCTCTGCTTTGGAGGGCTCTACTCAGGAGCAACACCAGCAGTTGAAGAATGAGTTGGACAGCAATTTGGAATGGCTTCAGGGCATGGTGTCAGATTGGGGAAACTTTGATTTCAAGCACTTGCTGGAGCACAGCTTCCGTGGCTCTGTCGAGCTCCGGATTGGGGGCCTTCTGCTTGGCGACATCAAGGCAGCAATTGTGGAAGGCCAGCTGTTTTGAATGTTTCTGGAGAAAGCTAGGGAATGTGCCTGCTACCAACCTGTTGATTTTCTTGTTGTGATGTCACATCACAATGTCATTGGTTGACTTGACATATTCCCCACCACCCTCAGCCCTCAGGTGTGATTTCCAGTCGCCTTTTCAAAGTCAGCGAGATTACAAAGAGCAAGGCCATCCAAACCACACTCCTGCAGTCACTTCTGGACTACAGTTCAAGTCCAGATGAAGAAGATGTTCCGCTTGAGAAGGTTTGCAGTCTCAGCAAGGACATGAACACGCAGTTGTCTTCAAAGGCTGTGGATGCTTTGGGACCAGATTGGCTTGATGCTGCAAAAGCGGCAGCCCAGCGTTTCCAGAGTGCCATGATCACCTATGGAACCTCTTGGGTTGCCTCTGCCTGGGAATCAGGTGGCCCAGACGAGGTATGTGATGTCTTGAATGCCTGCACTCACCTGCCACCAGAACTTCAGGCAATGTTGAATTTGGCCAAGAACAGCTCGATCCTGGACGATTTGAAGCCGGTTGATGCACCATCGCTCACAAACCTTGAGAAGGAGTTGCCACAGCTGATGCGTCCTGTCAAGAAGTGGATGACCATTTTGTCTTTGGACATGACGCTGATCGAGAAATTCTTTTCAGCAGAGGTGGTGACCCACGTGAAGGAATTCCAGGCATCAGTGATTGCCGCAATCGAGAAGGTCATCGACTCTGCAGAGACAAGCCTCGGACACATGACACCTGTTGTTGAGAAGTACAGGCAGGGACAGTTCAATCATTCTTCACCAAACAATGCCAGAAGAATTACTGGCAGTCAGTCAATATCCATGACTCATGACTTAATTGCATTCTGGATATATTCCATGATCCTTCTCTTTGTAGAGTCCATGCTGGTCCATGCTGGGGCTTTTGTTCATTTTGATGTGGCTGTTTCAAATGTTTCTGAGTAGTTCTTTTATGTCACCCGTTTTCAGAGGATTGAAATTACTATGACTCTTGTCCCATGCAAACATTGACTGTGGGTTCCAATCGAAATCGTCACAGGCATGTCATGCCGGCTATCGATTCTGGGGAGTTGGACACCGCCGCAAAGATCTTTGGCGCTGATGAGAAAGAAAAGATGCAGTTGGGTGAGGATGTCAACTCTCTCCTTGACTGGCGCAAGGGCTTCCTGATCGTGCAGGACTTTCTTCGAACCTTGCAGAACATCCAGAAGTTTGATGGTTGGAAGACCACACCATTGCGGGCCAAGATTGTTGCTGCATTTAAAACCATGGAGGACTGGACATGACGAACATGCTTGTGTACTCAGTCAGTCTTGCTAGTTGAGATTGATTCAAGAGATTCAGACTCTCTTTTTCATATGGTAGGTAGTAGGGAGGCAGCCAGCAGAAGGTCAGGCTGCAAAACAAGGCAGGCAACTAGCAGAAGGTCAGGTTGCCAAACATTGCGCAGTAGTTGTGGGTGTTGTATTTGTTCTTTCTTTGTCTAGGCCACGCGCAACGATGTGGGCTCAATGTGCAGCTCAATCACAGTTCTCGAGCTTGTCACGTTCCCAGACCACTACCCGGACAAGTTGGCGGCTGTGCGCAAACTGTGCAGAATGTTGGCCGCTGAACTTGGGATGACCAAAGCAGATCTTCACCCCAACCTCCTGACGAAGCTTGAAGAGTTCCAGAAGGCTGATGACCCTCCAGCCAGCGAGCAGCTTTGGTGGAACAGATCAAGGTCCAAGGTCCTAGCTTTTCAGATATTTCAGATTCAGTCACATTCTCACTCACTCATATCATATGTTGGGCGTTGGCTGAGACAAAAAAACGCACAAGGCCAGGCAAGAAACATTGGCTCTTGGTCATTGACGCATTTGTTCCAGGGCAATTTGTCAAAGGTCTATCGTTCATTGACTTTGGTGTTGATTCATTATGTTTTTATGGCCACCTGTAATTACATGGGACTATATAATGGCAACAAGCCACAAATTGAATTCAAGACTAGATGGTTTGTGGTGCAAACACTGGTGCAAGCCAGCATCATGTTCCCGTTTAATGTGTTCAGATCCCACCTTCAACTCACAAAGCTCACCCACAGCCCAGGCAAAAGAAGTCTGCGAAGAAACCCAAGACTTTGCCCAAAAAGAGGGCCAAACAGTAGGAGTCCCAAGGTGTTCAGGCATAGGTTTGGACGGCAGAATTTTGTCTCCTAGCCTTGGGCCGCTTGAGGTGTTTGGCAAGGGCAAAGCCTTTGGTCCAAGGACATAATCTTAGATCCTCTGTCGCCAGACAGTGTTGGAAGGCCAACAAACCTTTGTGGACATCCAGATACAGAGAAAAGGCTGTTCTCAGAGAGAGGAACGACGGGCTTTGCAATAAGATGGGCGATACTTTTTAGTTGCAATGTCAACCATTCAAGAAAATTGTTCGGTTGTTTGCCGGATGCCTTGGATGCAATTCACGGCTTTTCGCATTATACCAGTTTATACAGTGTGCCACATGTTGCATATGTTGGCAAAAGATTGATAGTTTTGTGTCCAAAGGAGGTGCCTCTATGTGATCTATGTCTACCAATAGCCTACTAGTCTTGAAATAGTTTCTACCTAAGCTGGAAATAGTTTCAGGGATTCCCTGAATAGTCTCAGGCAGGGGGGGGGTCCAAACACACAAACAGGCCTAAGCACGTCACAATATATATATATTAGATTATATTAGTATATGTCACCCTATAGAGCCTGAGCGATCCCTGTTTTGGAGGAACAACTATATGTAAAGTATTGCCTTTTGTCCCATCAAAACAGAGGTCAAAAGGGGCTCAAGGACCATACATGTTACCTTAGGCTGCTACCTTTCCGAATTGCTATGGGTGTTGTGAATTTCAATGCAAGCGGAAGGAAAACATAATTTCCAGAATCACATCTCTTCATCCTGTCCAAGTGCTCCTACGTGCTCCTACGAAAAGGGGCTGGGCTTCAAAGGCCAGGGACCGTACCTGGCATTGGACTGTCTTGCTCTTAGTAGTTTCTTGTTACTACTAGTAAGGCACTTGTTACTAGAAGCGATGCACTTGTTCCTAGGTCCTAGTAGCTTCTTGACTCGGCAAAACCCTCACCCCTCCCCAAACACACTTAGATTGTTGCTCGCAAAAGCTAGTATCAGTACGAAGTTCCCTTTGACTTGATGAACGGAATGAAGCACAAACCGAAAGGTGGCTGAGTCGGCGAACTTGTAGATGTTTAACAAAGTTTCAACTCCTATGCATTAGCCGCTT